AGTAATTTATTTTTAAATAGTGAGTGGTTCAGGGAAAGGCATGTGACTCAGGTTGGTCCAAAGAGATTCAGTCCTAGGACTTTTACTGAAACTATTAATCAGGAAAAGTTACTGAGGTGTAACTGAGGGCCAGAAGTGGCGATTTCACCATAATACAGGGACAGCCCATTCGAGAACACAGTCAACACAAATGCAGAGTTACGGCACAGAGAAAACATTGGGAGTCTCTGGGTCTTTTTACTTGTGTGAGCTCATCTGATCCCTATAGGGACCTAACAGTTTCACATGGATCTCTTACCTGTGCTTGAAAGAATCCTAATCGTTACATCTTCCCTCACTCATTTCAAAATACCCATAATCTAAATATAATAACATGTCTACATCTAATGCCTATGTTTGTTTGTTTGTTTTACAAATTTGCTATAGGGTATGCACACTTTACTGGAGAAAGACAGGGAGGGAGAGAGAGAGAGAGAGAGAGAGAGGAAGTGAGAAAGCATCCCGGGGTAGATGGCCACACCGAAATACCTCCTCCTCCATTCTCCTTCCAGGATTTCAGGCACATGTGCATGCACATGCACCCGTATGTATTATGTAGGGTAGGGGCCACCATGCCTTCACCTGGTATGTTTTACAAGCTGCTGGGTCAGGGACTCAAACCACATAGTTGGTCATGCGGGATCCAGCTGCATTAGCTACCACACCACTGGCTGGCCCCAATAATGCCTATGTTCCAGGCCTGCATCACAAAGGTAATCTCCAACTGTCTGGTTATCAGCTTCCCTTAAAGGATTGACTGAGAGGCCAGACAGTAAAATGTAACACTCTGCCAGACAGTTCCATAGGGAAGGGTTCTCTGTTTGCATCCTGGGACCTCCCTAAGTACCCCCTAAATGGACATGACAGTGATCCTGGGCTGGCTGAGGGCCTGGGGTGGATTGCAGTGTTAAAATCCTCTAAGGAGGCCAGCAGGTGACCTGAAGGGTAAGGTGGCTGGATAGCACATGGCTGGTTGTATGGTTAGAGTTCTAGACCCAGAAACGAAAATCACGCTAGGTGCATGTGCCTGTGTGTGCTCAAAATCAAGAGAGGCAAATGGAAGCAAAGGGGCTGTAGTGTGGCCATACTGCCTGGGAGGGCGTGCTTTCTCATTTCCCTTTATTTCCAGTAGGCGCATGCACTCTACGGGAAAAAATACCTTAAAAACAAAACAAAACAAAACAAAACGAAGAAATAAAACAACATCTGCTGAGGTACTCTTCTCTCACTTGCTCACTCATAGAAGGGACGGATAAACTTTTCAAAAAAGACTGAGAGAAGTGAAAACTATTATTACTTACATAAATAAAATGGTTCTATGAATCACTGCATCACACAAGAACTTAGAGGGAATGTTTTATCCATAAGACTGTTAGCTGAGCAGCCCTGAGGGCCCCGTGAGAGCCTGACATGTACCCTCCCAGGAGCTTTAAGAGAGCTTCTGGCCAAGCCTGGAACATTCCAGTCATATGGGTCAAGAGCAACACACAGAACCTTGAATGTGAGTCATGCCAAGTCCCACTGGTCCACTTGCACTTAAGCTGGTCCTCTGGTACATAGCAGTGGGGTTTTATTTATTTAAAGACGGCGAGAACAGTTAGTTAATAATAAATGTAATAGCTAAATTTACGGTGTCCTAGTGAATCGCTTGTACGCGAACCACCTCATTAAATCCTATGAAATAGGCACAATTCTTATCTTCATTTTTAACCTGAAAAACTGAGGCTGACAGGGCAAGTCGCCCAAAATAAGAGTTAGTAAGAGCCAAAGAGGTTGATTCTGAAGCCTGAAACTTTACCCAATCAGAGTTGCCATACCCAGGGAGTCTTCCCTGTCTGAAGATGTAGTTATCTGAGTCCCTGCAGTTATGGGATTACAGAGGAAAACAGAAATCATCACAAAAAGTTTCACTAATGAATTTACCATTTACATAATTGGTCTCCACTCCCAAGGCCCTCCTGGTATAGCTCCAGAGTGTTTCCCCACTCACACTGAAAGGACTGGAAACCGTGTGTGGCTATGGAAGGACGAACCAACTGCAATGCCAAATTGTAAACCTTTCAAAAGATGCCAGATTTCAGAAGCTCACAAATTAATGCTGGGGGTGCTCAGATGGCGCCCAAAGCCACTGAGTGGGGGAGGGTCTGGCAAAGCTAGACAAACAGGCAACTGCGAATGAGGAAACTGCCAAGGCTAATGACCAAATAGCTCTTCAATGAGAAATGATCTGAATATCAAATGATTAAGAGAGGCTCTCGGAAAATGGATGGCACCCCTGCACATTTTTGTAAAATGGAGCTGGGAAAATCACACACAGTAGAAAGGATCATATGTTGAGCTATCATACAATTTGTTGGAAAATTATGACCTTTTCAAATCAACACTTTATTCTTTATTGGTCCTACAAATTAATGCATAATTGCATTCACAACCTAAAATTTCTTGATAATATAAAGATATTTTCTTTCTTTCTTTCTTTCTCTTTTACTTTTCAAGATAACTTCTCAAACTCTTTAGCCCCGCAATTGACATGACTATCTGATTTTCCATTTAAGTGAATTCACTTAAGAGATTTTTTTTTTTTTAGTCCAATTACTCCCTTGCACTGGAGAACAGTTAACTGAAGACAATGAGCTTCTCTCCCATTCTCCTAAGTGTATAAAATCTGTCCATACACTCGGTTGAGCCACTGAGACGTCCCCTGCCTCAGCGGACAACACTGACAACATCTCGGCTGAAGACAACCTTCCACCTCATTTCCTTTATACTGGTCTTCATCATAAATCTAGACAAGACAGCTGAACAGCAACCCCTTGTGTTTGCTTAACAATGTCATCAAAATGTGGTCTGTCTTGTTTTTCAACATTCCTTTTATAAAGGCGTTAATTTTATTTTATTTTAGAGGTTTCTGCTTTTGAGGGGAGAAGGACTACATTTCTTGTGTCTATTTAGCTAAAGTAAAAGAATGAACACATATAGGTAAATAGAAGTGAGTGAACCTTTTTAAGAATTATTCTATTTAACTTTATTTATTTTTATTTATTTTAATTTGACCAGAGAGGGAAGAGCAAAAGTGAGAATGAGAGACAGAGAGGGAAAGTGAGAAAACAAGTCCCCAGGTCAGGGACTCAAACCGTGGTAGGCCATGTGGGAGTCCAGCGCCCTTAACCACCACGCCACTTGCCGGCCCCTGAGTGAACCTTTTAAAGATTTCACATTGCAAAGTAAAACATTTTTTGCTTTTGAGGTATGTATGGATGTGTATTTGAAGTTAGAACCAGGACCAGCAGTTGGCGTAATGGCTACGTCACTGGACTTCCATGTGGTCGACCATGGTTCAAGTTCCGGACCCAGTGGCTTAAACTCAAGCCAGGCATGTATGTGTGCATGCCCAAGATCCCAAGAAGAGAATGGAGGAGAAGAGATTGTGATGTGGCTATCCCCCCGGGGAGTGATTTCTCTCTTTCTGTCTTTCTGGCAAGCGCACATGCCCTATGGCAAAAAACCTCTCAAATAAATAAGTAAGTAAGTAAATACATAAATACATAGAAAGAAAGGAAGGGAGAAAGAAAAGGAGGGAGGGAAGGAGGGAGAGAGGGAGGGAGGAAGGGAGGAAGGAAGGAAGGAAGATAGAACCAATGGGGCCAGCAGATGGCATAACGGTTACATTACATTGCTGGACTCCCACATGATCAAATGCAATTCAAGTCCTAGATCCGGCAGCTTAAAACTCACACAAGGCAAGTGCATGTGTGTACCCAAAATCTTGAGAGGAGAATGGAGGAGAGGGGATTGCAGCATGGCCATCCCTCCTGGAGGATGATTTCTTGCTATCGGTCTCTCTGTCCCTCTGGCTAGCACATGCACCCTATAGCAAACAATAAATAAAGAAAGAAATAAAGTTAGAACCAACAAAAACTCAGACTTTCCAGAGAACATTTTAATTTTTCCTTTCTTTTGTGAACTAGAACAATGACACTCACAATCATTCCCTTTGGAAATAGAAGTCCTTTAGATTTGCTTATGTTGATCATGCTTTATAAGCAGGTCTTTCATTTTAGGCCACCTGCAATCACTTTGGAAGAAGCATGCTTCATTTGTCTTGAGTCAGATTGAGTCACTGAATTGTAAGAAGAGGAAATAAAAGATATTAGAGAGCCCATGTGTCCTAAGGGTTTCAGTGGTGCAGACAGAAAAGGTTACCTTGGTGTGGCTGGGACAGAAATGCCCTGGGTGTAAGGTTCTGAGAGGGGTGTGTGTGTGTGTGTGTGTGTGTGTTTTACTGTCACTGTACATCTTTACAGCATAAAAATGGATTTTCCCAGCATGAATACACTGTAATCTTCTGAAGAGGTCTCAGAACTCAAATTCCCATTTCCAGCTGCCCACAACTCCCCTGCCCTGTCAATAAACCTCCCAGCTTGGAAAAAAGAATTGGGGAGGGGGCCACTGGAAGGAACCAGAACTCATCCTGCTACAGGGCAGTGCTGGCCACCCTCTGCCCCTAACACCCTACCTGTACAAGGGAAGAAATTACGTTTCTACTTAATGGAGTTGTCGGGATTACACGAAGCACTTGGGGCCCCGCCGGGTCCCAGCGAACAGCCCAGCAGGCGACAAGCCTGCTCTAACAGGTCCTCAAGTGTCAGAGCTGTTACTGCGGGTGGGGGCCGCCGGCGCTGTCGGGGTTCTGCGCCACAAACCAGGTTCCTGAAGACTCCTCTGGAGAAACCGAAGGTCCGCTCACTAAGGACCTGGGCTGAGAGGCCCAGGCCGGGTTGGGGCCGCAGCGTCCTTTCCTGAAACACCTGCTAGGCTCGAAAGTGCCCCCGGGACCTCCCGAACGCCGGAACCCAGCCGCCCGGGCTATACTTCCTGGGGCCGGAAACCCCAGCCTGCACTTCCGGAGGATGGGCGGGCCCGCGTTGCTCACGCAGAGCTACTTCCGGGCGCGGGTAAGTGCGGCGGCTCGTGTTTCCCTGGGTTCCCGCGTGCCTTGCAGCAGTCTGCTCTGTGGGTTGGGGCCCCTCGTCCTGCTGGGACCCGGGAGATCGCGATGCCGGGCCGACTTAGGGTCCCGCTGCTCGCCTCCCTGCCCGTCCGCCCACAACTCCATCATTTGTCAGTCCTAGTCCGGAAAAGTGCCAGGCGAAGTGTGCGCCTGAACCGCCTGGCTGTTTAACGCCGGATGATACCTATTGTGTGGCCCGACACCACGTCAGCTCATACACCATGGCTGGCACTGCATTGACTGCCTTTTTTCCTCCTCTCAATTAAAGCTGCCATTAAAGAGACCCGACCATGGAAAGCGAACCATTGGTGATATCGAAACAGAAGACTGAGCTGGTGTGTGGGGTCCCCACCCAGGTGGTCTGCACAGCCTTCAGTAGTCACATCTTGGTGGTAGTGACCCAGTTTGGGAAGATGGGTACCCTGGTCTCCCTGGAGCCCAGCAACGTGGCAAGCGACATCAGCAGACCGATGCTCACTACAAAAGTCCTTCTGGGGCAGGATGAGGTAAAAGAGTTGGGAAGGGATGCCTCGAGTGGAGGAGGAACCTCTCCGGTGTATAATGTGTCCGTAAGGGTGCTGAGTATCTGGTAGGCAAGACCTCAACAGTGACAGCGTTTTCCAGGGCTTGGTGGGTCTGAGGGCACCCGCTTGCCCCGGGCGGACGCTTTTCTATGCCTGTCAGCGTTTTATCCAGCAGACAAATGGAGGTATTGATTTTGTAATGTGGTCTTCCTCCTCAGTTTGACCCTGTCGTGATACATTATGTTAATGATCAGCTGTCTGTGCTCCCTTCTAGAAAGATCATCTGTGAGATTTGACAGCTCCCTTCTGCAGCCTGGTCTTTCCTGAGTCCTTCCAGATTAGAGATAGCTGGAAGATTCAGGGGAAGAAAAATTTAATGATGCCTCTCTAGCAGCTTGTTTATGACTGGAGTGTTCTGAGTGTCTCATTGGACTCTGAATCACTGTCGCCTCGAACTTATCGGGCGGTGATTTAATGGTGGCGTGGGAAGCCAGTCTGGGTTCCTGAGGGATACTTAATAAAGGTGTTAGGAAAAAAAGAAACAGATTTCTTGAACTTAAAATGGTTTCCTCCCCTTTCCTTCACCAGCCTCTCATCCACGTCTTCGCAAAGAACCTGGTAGCATTTGTGTCTCAGGAAGCTGGAAATCGAGCAGTCCTCCTAGCTGTGGCTGTGAAGGACAAAAGCATGGAGGGGGTGAAAGCCTTGAAGGAGGTGATTCGGGTGTGCCAGGTGTGGTGACCGAATTCAACAATATCAAGCAGAAACAGAGACCTCCACAGAGGGACTCAAAAGACCCCCTCACTCCCTGCTTTTTATCATAGAAGGAGAAACGGAAAAAATATTCCTGTCTCAAGCAGACTCTTACTGTGGTTACCAAGATCGCCCACAGATGGGAAGAAGAGAAATGTGTCTTGAGGAAGTTATGAATGGTTCTCACTGGAGTCCAAATCGCTGCATATATTTGAGAACTGAAAGGATGAGTCAGCAGGTATGACTCATGGCTCTCAATGTGCAGGACCAATTCTAGGAGGAAGTTTCTTTTTTATTAAAAGTAAATGCGTATTTCAAAGTAATTTACCATCCTTGTGAACAATATTGAGAGATTTCGGGCATCTGCCCTAAGTTCAATTTAGTGTACCTTACATGGGTAGGAAACTTGTTTGGCAAAAATGTGGACTCTCTCGTTCACAGAGATGCGGTGATCCCAGGGATGGGCCTTTTGCACACTGTTATCTTACAGCTTTTTCTGTGACCCTTCTCTGAGTATTCTTCGACTCACACTTCCTACCACCTTGCCATGTGCCCGTTCCTGTGCTGGGGCTGGGGATCTAGCTTCAGGAGCCACCGAATCATGAATGTTTGGGGAGGACATTTCCAGTAAAGGAACCTCTTGTACAAGTGAAGTAGAGAAGTACAGCAAGGGCAGGCTGCTTCGCAGAGTTTACTAACATTACACCACCTGTGTGGCTAAACTAGAAGTCTGCAGTGGGAGAGGCTGCAGAGGGCCTTCTGTGCTGAGGCCATAGGGCTTGATCCCAAGTTCAGTGAGAAGCTTGAAGAGTTTGAGGTCAGGTCAGATTTGCCCTGGAGAAATATGCACGGGAAATACTTGCAAAAATTGGCCAGAGCACCGGATGAGGCAATGGCTTCAAGATGGCATTATGCTCTTACAAATGGCACCCTGGCACCCACTTGTGCTGTCCCTGGTCTTTCTTCCAGACCCATTGAAGGGGTTGCTGATGCCAAAAGGTTAGATCTTTGTACCTTTTGACCCTCTTACATTCTCATAAGAAATGAGAGGTTGCTGGAAAGTTGTGTTAGATGACACAGGGTCTTGAAGCAGAAACCACGTAAGAACCCAAAAATGGAATGCGCATCCAGGATGCCCTTCCAGGGATTGGGGATTCACTCATGTTTTTAAGAATTATTTATTTCATTTTATTTATTTTTAAGATTTTTACATTTGGTACAGGGCACGTGTACTCATCAGAGGTGGGGGAAAGTGAGAAAGCAAGCCTCCAGGTCCAGAACTTAAACCACAGTTGGCCATGTGGGAGTCGAGTGCCTTAACCACCATGCCACCTGCCAGCCCCAGGGATTCACTTCTTTAGGTGCATGTAAAGGAATGCTGTGGGTGGCATTCATGTGTTTATAAGATTAGAAAGGGACATTTTAATTTGATTTTCTTTTAGAACCAAAGATTTCTTAAACCCTGCAGTTTTTGAAATCATTCTTGGGTCCAGCAGATGGTATAATGGGTTATTTTGCTGGACTCTCCTGTCAACTGTAGTTTGAGTTTCAGACCCATGTGCGTGTGTGCCCCAAATCCTGAAAGGAGAATGGAGAAGGGATTGCAGCCTGGCCATCCCCCCTTGGGGGGATGGGAGGGTGATTTTTCACTTTCTGTCTCTGTCTCTTCTGCAAGTGCACCCACCTTATAGCAAAAATCTCTTTGAAAAAAAGAAAAGTTGAAGATTTTGCCCTTTCCTCTTCTCTACTGCCGTCAGCCCCCACCATCAGCGGAGACCCGGTCCTTCTCTCCCTGACCAGCCACAGCTTTACATGCCTGCAGTTTCCTGCCCTGGATTCTTAAGCACCCAGCGCCCTGCTAGAGCTGCCCCAGGACTCCCGCAGTGGTGGTCTCAGACCTGGACCTGAGACGGGGCCATGTGGAGAACGGTAGAGAAACCCGGGGAGCTGAGGAGTAGATCCAAATCCTTATTTCTGTATCAGGCCACATTCAGGTTCCAAATGACAACAAAGAGAGTAAAAATGCAAAATTCAGCTGGGCTGGGTGAGTCCTCTTGTGCGAACCATGTAATTATCATTTGTTGTAATAACCCTGAGACCTACCAATAAACTCACACCAGGGCCAGCCCCATAGCCTAGTGGTTAAAGAGAGCCAGATCCCACAGGACCGACTGCAATTCAAATCCCAGCCTGAAACACACTGGCATCCATGCCCAGAATCCCAGCAGGATGGAGAAATGGAGCAGGGAAGGGGTATCACCACAGCCAGTGGGAGGTGCCTCCTTCCTTTCACTCCTTTATCTTAAAACAATTCTCTAGGTGATGGGAAAGACCATTTTAAACAGCTAGTGTAACTTTTAAGTTTAGAAAGTGAATTTGCTGAAAATGGGACAAAAGAAAGCTGATTGTCTTCATGCCTTCAGCAAAACAGTGCCTACTGTATGCCCTATACCGTATTACCTGCTGGGTCCCCCTCAGCATGGTTCCTGCCTATGAGCTCAAGGTCTCCACCAGTGCTCAGTCAGGTAAACCTATAGGTATGGACCAGCTGCAGCGTGGCCAAGGCAACCTCAGCATGAGATGGGAATGTGGGGATCCTGCCAGCCTTCCAGAGGGTGCTGATACTTGAGGGAAATGGTCCTCACAGGTGCCTACTGCAGGGGCTACAGGTGACCTGCGGCCCCTGCCCCCAGCCCCAGGATGCTCCCCACCTGTGACTGAATGCATCGGGGACACCAGTGGTACAGAGGCAAACCCATCCTTGGTAGAAGGACTGTTGGGGCTGAATGACCCAAATGCTCCTAGATGGCTTTGCTTAACCTCCCCAGGCCACGGCTCTCACTGGTAGCTCCCCACCCCACTTCCTAACAGGCATTGTCCCTAATAAAACCCTACACATTTAATACTGTTTGCTTCAGCCTCTTGGAGGACCTGGACCAGCACAAGTTCTAAAGCCCACAAAGGACAAGGGAGTTCCAGTCACAGTAGGCAGTAGGCACCACCATGCCATCCGTACTGGAGCTGTGTGGAAAGGCCTTGGGGTTTAGACTTCAAGTCAATCAACACGCCTGGCACACCCACAGGCATGCCCCATCCTGGAAGGCTTGAGGAGAGAGATTGAGGGATTCCTGACTCCCCTCCCTCCCTCTCAGACTTTTAAAAACGAAGAGGATTGGGAACCAGCAGTTAGCGTAATGGCTATGTCGCTGGACTCCCACGTAGTCGACCATGGTTCGCATCCCGGACCCGGTGGCTTAAAACTCACGCCGGGCGCATGTGCGTGAGTGCCCAAGATCCCGAGAGGAGAATGGAGGAGAAGGGATTGTGGTGTGACCATCCCCCCTGGGGGGTGATTTCTCGCTTTCTGTCTCTATGTCTCTCTCTCTGTCTGTCTGGCGAGCGCACGCACCTCTAAAAAAAAAAAAAACGAGGATTGTCCACACATTGAGGCCTTACGCAGGTGACACGCATCGTGGCAAGTGTGGGGACTCCACACCTGCTGCTGGAATAAGGGGAGCCTGTTTAGGGAGAACCCCCAGACTTGATCCCAAAGCAGGGGTTAATGTTTTAGAGTGGTCGCTCAGGCAAGAATCTGTCAATCTTAGCCTAAATGTTTGTATGTGTTACCTCACAATCATGCTTTTGTACGAGGAGCCGCAGCGCTCCGCTCATTGAGTAGACGGGGGAGCGGCAGCATGGGTAGGACTCAACTGAGTCTAAATTCAGGTTTGCAGCCCTTGGTTTTCTGATCCGGTCCCTAAACAGGTAATAACAGAACTTTAGCCCTTCAGTCAGTCCTTCACACAGAGTAACTCGTTTAATCCTCACAGCAACCCAGGGAGGGGCTGCTCTCACCACCTGTGGTGTATAGACAAGAAAGAGACCCAAGAGATCGCCCAGCTGCCCCTGAGTGGTGGGGCTGGGGTTTGAAGCCAGGCAGGGCACCCAGTTCCCGGCTCTGCCCAGGAACGCCCTCAGTGGTTGTCATTCCTGGGCCATGAGCCTGCATGTCCAGGAGTGAACAGTCCTGGTGATTGCCAAGGTCAGTCTCGCCTCCTTACTTCTGTCTGGTTCTGCTTCAGTGCTCTGCTTCAGGGCTTCCTGAGAGCCAGGCACCAACTGAGTCCCTGTGACCACCCATAAAAAGCAGGTAGTGGAAGAAATTAAGACTGGGAAATCTGGGAAGGGTGCAAGACCCAGTGATAAGTGGCAGCCCCATAGGTAAACACCACGTTGCCCTTTGTTATTTGCACAGTCCCTCGGATGCCCGCCTCGAAGGTACTACTGACACTGATGTATAATTGAAACCAGGGTCCCCAGTGCCTGCTCTAAGTCATACTTATTTACAGCTGCCTGAAGCTGCCTGGTAGCTATTAAAAATACAGGCTGAAACTAAATGCTTCCATCATCCACGCCAGTGCCTTACTGCTCTGCTCTGCCTTATAAATCAGCTGGCAGCTCGTGTGAAAAGGCGCTTGGCCCTTGCTTTCCGCGGTGCTGGTCCCAGCTGCTGTAATTCAGGAGGAGAGACCCCTGCTCCAGTAAGGAGATCCATAACGCTGGCAGTTTCTGCAGGCAGGGCTGTCCGCTGGGTGGAAATTGTTGTTCCTTTAGATGGAAAGACTGCGTGGGGTGCTTACCCAGCGATCAAACTGTAATTACAACGTCCAGCAATTTACGGCCAAATGTAAATAATGAGCACTGGGCTAATTTGCCAGCCCCTGCAGCACAGACGGCAGGGGAGGTTCGCTCTTGAAGGCAATGCCCTTGGACCAGCGCAGTGTGATTCATGCAACACTGTTCTCTGCAGAGCTGCGGGCAGTCTCTCCAAGCTCCCCCAGCCACGCTTCCCCTTTGCCTACCTGGATGTGGGGATGTGTTCCAGCCCAGAGCCAAGGGCGTGCAGTTATCTTGGTGGTCGGGAAAAGCCAGGGAGGGCAGCTGCTCTTAGCTATTTTTCTGAGCAGCTTTTGCAGGGGGTTGACAGAGCCCTGGTCCAACTGACCAATCGTGATGTGTAAGGGGAGGAGTGAGACCGTGGCACTCAGAGAAAAGTTGGTCTCGGCTATTTTTTTTTTTTAGCTCCTAGAAACAAACTTGGAAATCAGGAGAACAGCCCTGGGTAAGTGACTGGCATGAGGGCCCAGGATGAGGATGAGGTCAGAGGAATGTGACCGATGGGGAAATGGCTGCAGAGAGGCCCTCTGGCACTTTGGTTTTCTAGTTTGGCATCAGTGAGAAAAACAGGACAGACCCTGTCTTGTGTGAAGTGAAGGGTAGTTTAGGCTGGAAATGAGGACTCATAAATTCCAGAAAG